CACAGAGCGGGCGGGGCTGCCCCGTGGGGGTGCTTCCAACTCCCGCACGTGGGTACGGCGGGGCCGGGCGGGGCGGCACCGTGAGCGGTGCGGGCGGTGTGCGGGGCCGTGCCCGGTGCGCGGAGGGCCGGCGGCGGCGGCTCGCTGGTGCCAAGCCCCTGCCAGAACCTCTTTTGTGCGCCCGCAGCCAATCAAGGCCGCTGACGACACACTTCACTTGGGATATAAAACCCCGGGGCCGCCGCCGACGCTTTTTCCCCCCCCCCCCCCCCCCCCCCCCCCCCCCCCCCCCCCCCGGCCCCTCTCCGCCCGCCCCGCTCCGCGCCCCGCAGCCTCCACCGCCGCTCCCCGCTCCGTTCCCCGCGCGTCGCCGGGGTGGGGGCCGGCGGGGGAAGGCCCCCGGGATGGCCCCGGTGCTGCTGTGGCTGTTGGCTTTGGTGGCGGGGGGCCCGGCGGGAGCTCAACCCCCCCTCCCCGCCGCTTCGGAGCCCGCGTGCCCCGTGTGCGTGTGGCGGAGGCACAGCAAAGAGCTGCGGCTGGAGAGCATCAAGTCGCAGATCCTCAGCAAGCTGCGGCTGAAGGAAGCGCCCAACATCACCCGCGAGGTGGTGAAGCAGCTGCTGCCCAAAGCGCCGCCGCTGCAGCAGATCCTCGACCTGCACGACTTCCAGGGGGACTCGCTGCAGCACGACGAGTACCTGGAGGAGGACGAGTACCACGCCACCACCGAGACCGTCATCAGCATGGCCCAGGAAAGTCAGTGCCGCCTTTGTTCCGGACGCAAAGTTCGCCCTCTCCCTCCCCCGAGCCCTTCCCGGTCCCCGGGTCCGGTGGCCGCGGTCGCAACTTTCCCTTCTCGGAGCTCCCCCGGTCCCCCTCGCCCTCCCCCGGTTCCTCCCGGTGCTCCCCCCCTTTCTCCCCCATCCCCCTCGACCTCCCGTTCCTCCTTGTTTCCCTTCGGTTCCCGCACTCCCGGTCCCCCGCGGTCGCGCACGGTGCCTCGCGGGGCAGCCCTAAACGGAGCTTCGGGTATCGACCCACAGCCCCCGGCCCACCGGGACCGGCACTGGGACTGGGACCAGGCAGCTTTGCGCTAAGCCCGGAGGGGACGCAGTGCTCTGCACCGTGGGGAGATCTGGGGACGGGGGATGTGGGGACTCGGAGACATCATAGGGACGTGGGGACCCGGAAGCATCGGGATCCGGGGACACGGGGATACAGGTATATGGGGACGGGACAGTGCAGCCTGCAGCTGGTTCACGGCACCAGCACCGCGCACCGGGATCAGGGGCTGGGAACAGCCATAGGGCACTGGGACTCTGCACTGAGCGCTGGTGCTGAGAGTGAGTTCTGGGTGCTGGGAATGGACGCTGGATTCTATGAGCTGGTGCTGGGTTCTGGACTGGGCACTGGGAACAGCTGTAGGGCGCTGGGAGCAGGCACTGTGTGCTGGGACCCAACAGTGACACCAGTGTGTCGTGAGATTGGGCACCGGGTGCCGGCAGCAGTTCCCCGGACCCAACACTGAGACCAGCACTTGGTACTGGGAACCAGAACTGGGACCCAGCAGTGGCTACTGGGAGCTGTCACAGGGCTCTGGGAACGGGCACTGGGTTCTGGGACCTGGCTGTGTTCTGGGACTGGGCACTGAGTGCTGGCAGCACGTCCTAGGACCCAGCAGTGGCATCAGCACTGGGTACTGGGACAGTAATGGGACATGGGATGTGGCACTGGGACCCAACACTTGGCACTGGGACCCAATACTTGGCACTGGGCCGTGGCGCTGGGCACCAGTGCGTTGTACTGAGACCAGGGCTGGTGCAGGGACTGTCCTCAGGGCATTGAGGACAGGATGATGTGGTCCCTCCCTGGGGACACCCCCTGTGCCCGCTGTCCCCATTGCCAGCAGTGACACGGTGACATCCCAGCCCGCAGGTCCTGCAGGGCTCTGGGTGCCAGCAGCATCCTTCTTGCCTCAATATGTGACAGCAGGGTGACAGCAGGGCGTGCTGATGGCACTGAGGGGTCCCCACAGTGCCCTGGGGACAGGACGGGGTGCAGGGGGGGGCTCTGCTTCGCCGTGACATTGCTCCATCCGTCCGTATGTCCCCGTGTCCGTGTGTCCACCCACGAGGCTGCAGGTCGAATGGGACGCATCGAGAGGGGCTCTCGTCCCCTCTCCACCTGCTGATACCACCTGGGACCCCCAGACCCCCCCACCCCCCACCCCCCCACCCATCCCGGGGTTGGGGTGTGAAGGCCGAGCGGAAGGGCTGGAAGTGTGAGGCGCTCCCCCTCCTTCCCTCCCCCTCCCTGACGAATTTCCTTCCCGGGCATTAATAGACTTCGGGCGGCTTTGAAATTTTATTACCCATAAAATTGACGACACGCTGAGGTTTTCCTCCCTGCGCCGCCTTCACGCTCATTGCTTCCCCCCCCCCCCCCCCCCCCCCCCCCCCCCCCCCCCCCCCCCCCCCCC